AGGAACAAGAAGCTACTAGTAACAAAGGGCATCGCTACTAGGAGCAAGGACGCTACTAGGGGCGCTCCTGGCGTTCCTAGGAACAAGAAGCTACTAGTAACAAAGAGCGTCGCTACTAGGAGCAAGGACACTACTTGGGGCGCTCCTGGCCTTACTACTACTAGTAACAAAGGGCATCGCCACTAGGAGCAAGGACGCTACTAGAAGCGCTCCTGGCCTCACTACTAGGAACACGAAGCTACTAATTAGTAACAAAGGGTATCGCTACTAGGAGCAAGGACGCTACTAGGGGCACTTCTGGCCTTACTACTAGAAACAAGAAGCTAGTAGTAACAAAGAGCATTGCTACTAGGAGCAAGGACACTACTTGGGGCGCTCCAACAAAGGGCATCGCTGCTAGGAGCAAGGACGCTACTAGGGTTCCTGGCCTTACTACTAGGAACAAGAAACTACTAGTAACAAAGGGCATCGCTACTAAGAGCAAGGACGCTACTTGGGGCGCTCCTGGCCTCACTACTAGGAACAAGAAGTTACTATATAGTAACAAAGGGCATCGCTACTAGGAGCAAGGACGCTACTTGCGGCGCTCCTGGCCTTACTACTAGGAACAAGAAGCTACTAGTTACTAATTAGTAACAAAGGGCATCGCTACTAGGAGCAAGGACGCTACTTGGGGCCCTCCTGGCCTTACTACTAGGAACAAGAAGCTTTAGGCTCGTAACTGAGGCAAGGGCCATTGATCACCCCGCCGCCCCTAGCAGATGACCTTCCAGTCGGCTGTCTGAATGGTTGGCTTGGGACGGAACCAAATCGATAACGTAGTGACAGATTCTAGTCTTTGACCCGGAGCCTGGTCAAGACAAGTTCAGGTAAGAGTGGGTCACAGGTTCGTGGAATTTGGCTGAAGCCTTCAACAGCGTCAAGTAGTAGTCTTAAGCGGACACCCATTTCACCGTGTTGTTGATAGCCTTTCATCAGCCAACGGCTTTTGCATTTGACGTGATTTACCAGTCCAATGATTGAGTTTGAAAACCCTTCACTGAAGTCACTTTTTGTCATGACACCTTTTCACGATCGCAGAGCGCTCTTGAGCTGGTTCAAAAGTCCGTCCTACCGACTTTGGTAGCGGAGCCCCGGCCGTCCGGGGCTCCTGCGTTCGCCATTGGCCGCCTGGCGCCTTCAGCGCCGCCCGGCGCGATCCCGGGCCCGCTGCGCTGCCCGCGCTGCTTCGCTCTCGTCGCCGCCACGACGACGATCCTTTTTTGCTGTCTCACAAATTTGGCCATTTTGGTCCTGTGCATTTGTTCTTCGGCTCCGAGGGCACCTGTGAAAGCAGCCAATTTTGCGCCCGTGAAAGCTCCCGAGTACACGACCCTGGAGGTGATTGACCTGCACTCCATCTTCCGGAATCAGACGCTGACCATTGACATCTCCCTGAATTTGCAGGACTACCCGATTCAGGACACCTTCACGTACCGGGACTTTGCCCGTGATCTGTTCACGATGGCCCAGCCGCTCCTTGGCATACCTTTGGCTGAGTTTCGTCGCGACGTACCACCTGGTTGGGCTCCGAACCTTCCAGACTACAGCTTGAAGTCTTATTTTGACAAACTTCGCCTCTGGTATAGGCTCTACCAAGGCCCTGACGAACAAGTAGGTCCTCTACTTGCGGGACGCCTTCAAGGAAGAGCCCAAAAGATTGCCATGGGTCTCAAACTGGTTCGCCCTGACGGAACCTACGATGTGGGAGACAGTGCTCTTGTTCGGCTGTCCACGGACGAGGTTCGAGACCCCATGGACCCGAATGTCATCTTGCAGCATGCAATCCCAAGTGGAGTTCAAGCTCTCGCGAACGCCCTCCGTGAGACCTTCGGTCAGTCTGACCAGGAGTTGGCCACCCACAGTTTGGAGCAATTCTTCCTCTTCAAACGGGGTAAGCTTTCGATGCACGAATATGCATCAGAATGGGAGCTTCGCTATGAGTCTGCTCAGCGCCACTCAGGCTTGGAGATCAACGACGTCGCCAAGAGCTTCCTATTTTTCCAAAGTTCTGGATTGCCCAACAAGTTCATTGAGGATGTCAAGATCCAGATCCAAGGCGACATGTCTCGTTTTGAGGAAGCCAAGCGCCTGACCTTGCGCCTGAGCAATCGGAGTGACCAGCATGCTTTGTCCCAGGACCTGTACACCGATCAGGCTTCTGAGTTCTTCTCCACTCCATCCTCGTCATGGAACACCATGGACTACGACACCTACTATGACGATTGGTCATGGCAAGATGATCCTTGGCAAGCAGATCCAGAAGATCCCTGGACTGGCTATGCAGAGGATGAATGGTGGCAAGAAGACGATTCCTGGTCGCCTACGGCATCAGAATGGCACACCCCTGAGGAGTATGTCATCCATGACGACCAACATGAGACAGAGCAAGCTGCTGAAGCCCCTGAGACCTACTATGAGGACGAGGACTACTACCAGCAGAAGAGTGGCTGTCATGTCTGTGGCAGTCGATGGCACCTGGCCGCACAGTGTCCCGTCAGAGACAAAGGAAAAGGCGGCTATGGAGGAGGAAAATCCTCCTGGAGGCCAAAAGGCAAAGGCAAGAGCAAAGGAAAGAAGGGCAAGGGCAAAAGCAAGTCATTCAAGGGCAAAGGCAAGTTCAAAGGTGGCAACAAGGGCTACTTTAACGACATCGACTACAGTGCCCAACGAGGTCAACCTGAACAAGGACTTTCTCTGAGTCCTCCAGCTTCATCGTCTTTTACCACTGAGGTGAAGCCCATCCATATGACACCACCGAGGACTGGAGAGTTGCTTCCTTGGCAAGAGAAGAAAGTGACCTTTGCTGACAAGCAACTTGCTTTTGCCACCCATCTTCATGCGAGCTCTGAGGTCTACCACATGGTGAAGGGCGTCAAACGCCGTGGCTTGCTGATTGACCCTGGTGCTGCCGCAGGTTTGGTTGGCAGCGAGACCCTTCGTGACCTCCTAGCCAGCTGCTACCAGGACAAGCAGAAGGCAGTGACATGGTCTGCGTCAGATGCCACTATCACCGGCATCTCAGGTCAGCCAGACAAAGCTCTTGGACGAGTTCATCTGAAGCTGCCTTTCAAGAACATGGAAGCCACCTACACCGCCGATGTCATTGGCAAAGAAGGCAGCCGCTGCCCCGCTCTGGTTGGCAACCCTGCTCTATGTGCGATGTACGCCTCTCTGCATTCACGATGGTTCACCAACGATGATGGACTTCTGGTTGCCTGGGACACTTCCAAGAGCGAGCATCCGCAGATGAACCTCTTCCGAGTTCTTCTCACTGACAGTGGTCACTACCTGCTGCCTTTGGATGAAGATGCTGGTATCTGCGATCAGCAACCTGAAGCCTTTCACTTCATCAAGCACCTCTCTGACGTCTCCCATCGTGCATGGCCAGATCATGCATACACCTTCTGGCAGAACGTGACTGCCCAAGGACCGGAACGTCAGTGGAGCACTCATGGGACACAAGTTCGATCCCTTCAAGATGATCACCCGCTGACTAGTCTCATGAGTGAGCAGAACAAGAACCACGACATGGATACCTCATGTTCCACGTCACCGATCAAGGACCACGACGCATCAACATTACCTATCACATCATCCACCTCAGATATCACTTCCACTGGAGGAGTTGAGGCTGCAGACAATCTCTACCAATGTGATGACGCTCATAAGGAGCATAAGTGTGAATGTTGCCAGAGTCACAACACTCCAAGTTCCACGACACCTGAACAGGTCACATCATGTTCCGCAACAGCCACCTCATGTTCCACAACACCTGGAGGAGTTGAGGCTGCAGACAAGGACTACCAAGAGAAGAAAGATAGTGTTGTGACATCTCAGCTGATGGCCACAAATCTGAGTGAGCTTCCACTGTACGTTGATGACTCTGTTCCACCTCACCTCTCACAAGAAGATCAGCAGAAGCTCAAGAAAGACTACAAGGCCATGCCAGAGGAATTCTATCGCCACTCCAATCGCAGAGTCGTGACGCCAGACACCTTTCCTGCATGGTTCAAGGAAGCCAAGCGACATGGAGTCAAGTGGCAGATTTGGGAGCTCTTCTCCGGCTCTGGAAGATTTTCTCTCCTGTGCACATTGGCTGGTCTGATGACTGGTTTTCCTGTCGACTTCCGCTATGGCTGGGACATTGGCAATCCAACACATCAAGACATGCTTTGGAGCGCCTACACCACCTTCGAGCCGGAAGTGATCTTTGGCTCTCCTCGCTGCAAGTTCTGGAGCATAGCCGCATCGAGACGAGATCGACATCAACTTCTACAAGATCGAGAGAAGGACAGATCGGCTTTAGTGTTCCTTCAACGCCTGTATGCTGAACAGGTGAAGAAGTCTCGAGGCTACCTCCTGGAACAGCCATCGTCTTCAGCTATGTGGGAAGAGAGTGTGATGGCAGAGAACAAGAAGTTCCCTGGCTGGCGAAAACATCGCCGCACAGATCAATGTGCATTCGGAGCAGTTGATGAGCTTCGGAAGCCAGTGCTGAAAGCCACCGGCATTGAGGCGAACTTCAAACTACGCCTCAGCCTTCGTCGATGTAATGGACACAATGGAATGCCCCATGCACCTCTACAAGGTCAACATCAAGGCAAGAATCGCACTGCTATGGCAGCTGTCTACCCGACTCGCTTCTGTAAGGCCCTCATCCAGGACATCATTCAATGGTTTCAGAAGCGCAACACTCTGCACATGCGCTTGGTCGACTCATGGACCTATCACCAAGTCCTCTACAAGTGCGAGCGTTGCAAGTTTGGCAGAGCTGCCACAGCTGATATGGAGCATTCCTTCATTCCGGGAGAATGTCGCCATGGTCGCCTGTTCAAGGAACCTTCGGCAGCTCCTTCGGCCGCCTCAAGTCCCACAGCTGACTTTCAACGAGGCATTCGAGCACATGGAGGCATGAGTCAGGTTGAGATACAAGTTCCTGACTCTATGGAGTTCACCGCTGAAGACAAGCTCTACCTGAAAGGCTTGCTGTGTCAATTGGTGAACGACTCCATGACCATCTTCGACGAAGTCACCGACGGCAACTACTCCCGATGGATTGAAGATCCCATCCTGATGACGATTGTGCGCTCATGCCTTCGCAAGATTCTCTATGTCCACGGAGTGTACATCATCCTGCATCCTTTTGCCAAGGCATTTCCGGAACCAAAACTGCGAGCTGAACTTTGTCCACTGCGACTGATCTGTCGAGGCACCTACAAGTCCTGGACAGTTCATCCACTTGAAGATCTTCGTGAAATGTCACCAGCTCAGCAGAGAGAAGCCATTGAGGAGCCTGACTGGATGATTACTTTCTTTGGCGATGTTCGGGAACCCACTTCGACAAGAAGGTCATCTCCAGCCACACCTGCTCCAGTCACTCCAGCTCCTGGCACTCCAATGCCCGGTACACCTGCGCCTTTGGTGCCTGTACCTGCAACTCCGATGCCACCTGCTGAGGAGACTTCTCAAGCTTTGGTTCCTGTGGATGATGCACCACTACGGTGGCTCCATATGAAGGAATTTCAGCTGAAGCTGCCAATGCTCGAGCTATCAAACCTCTCTATAGTGTACGACGAGTTCTGCAGAAGCTTCCTTCGATAGCTGCAAGCGATCCGACTCAGGCCAAACGACTCCTACTTGGACTACACGAGAAGATGTGGCATGCAACAGCTGCTGACTTCACCAGTCTACTTCAACGAGCAGGCATGCCGCAAGCCGTGTTGGATTTGATTGGAGAAGCTGTTGCTTCCTGTGCCGTGTGCCGCCGATACTCAAGGCTTCCAAGCAAGCCAAAGAGCAAGGCTACTCTGGCAGCTCAGTTTAATGATGAAGTTGAGATGGACATCTTCTTCCTTTGGGGCAAGGCTTTTGTTCTTTTGATCGACGTGGCCACACGCTACAAGGTAGCTTTTGAGACCCCAACTCGATCTCTTGATGATCTTCTTCGAGGCATGCTTACTCACTGGATCAGGTATTTTGGACCAATGCGCATGCTCACCTCAGATCAAGAGACTTCGTTGATGGGTCCTGCTGCCGCCATTGAGTTTGAACGCCTGGCCATTTGTCGCAATCCCAAAGGCACCACTCAAGGAGAAGCTGCCAAGCAACACACTGGCACAGGTCTGGCAGAACGACACATCGGTTTGATCAAGCTCACCATGGAGAAGGTCAAGGCAGAGCTCGATAGGCAAGGACTCACCATGGAAGATGCGGACATTGCTGCTGAGTCCGCAATGTGTCAGAATCTCCTCATGACCTACGGTGGATATACGCCCTGCATGGCAGTGTTTGGAGTTCTTCCTCGCTCATTCTATGAGTTTGAGTCCACCACTTTGACTGCTGTTGATGGAGCTCGAGAACGTGATCCCTACATCTTCGAGTCTGCAATGAGATTGCGTCAAGTTTCTCTGGCCGCAGTTCAGCAGGCCATCGCCGAAGATAGAGTTGCACGAGCCTCTCACAGCCGACCTCAGAAGGTGGACACCTCCGAGCTGACTCCTGGCACATCCATGGTGGAAATTCACCGAGGAGAAAGTTGGCGAGGCCCTGCAGTGCTGTTGGAAGTCAATGAAAATGAAGGCACCGCAATCGTTCGACATCAAGGAAAGCCATATCTGCTTCCTTTGAGATTCGTCCGCCCTTTTCGTGGTGTGTTCTTCAACATGGACACCACAGCTGGCACTACCTTGCATCAGATGATGGCCATGATTGAAGCAGCTCAGCCCTATAAGCAGCACTTCCTCGGCTACAAGCTGATCCTGCGCCACGACGGAGCACATTGGAAGAACATTCCTTCGACTCCTACGGAAGCACAACAGAAGATTCTGTCAGCATTTGGACAATGGGAAGAATGGGCTCAGCATCCCGTCCACGGAGTTCTATATGGACAAGCATGCCATACACTTCATCCACTACCACACACTCGTGGAACCATCTTGACATGGTTGAAGGGCACCTCTGACTACATCAAGATCCACAAGGAGGATGACAACTCAATGAAGCTCAAGGATGAGTATGGCCAGCGCTGGGAATCTCTTTGCGTCATGTACATCTTCTACTATCCGACCAGCACTGAGATGGCGCCTGCAGAAGCACCTCATGGAGACGAAGTGCAATCAGCTCCTGCTCAAGCACCACCTCATGCACCACAAGCTCCCGTGGAGACAGAGAGAGACATTGACTGTGAACTGCCCATGAAGCGTGGCTCAGCTACCACTGATCCTCCGCTACCAGATCCTGATCCCAAGAAGGCCAAGTTCGATGTCGCACACAACATCACCACGGAGCTGCAGAACCTCCACACTCTGCAGTGGATGATTGACCGCAAAAGATTCTTCCGCCTGCATAATGAAGCTTTCTGGTCAGAGACCTACTATGTGCCTCGATGGTTCAACAAGATCACCAGAGAGATGGTCACACAGAAGAGCCAAATGCTCCACGAAAAGGCCAAGGAGAGAGGTACCTACTTGGTCCACCTGGCCAGTTCGAAGAAGCGCCACTTTTACCTTGACTTGTCCAATGGTGGCCGCTACATGTCTGTCACCGCAGAGGACACGATCTCAGAGACCGATCTGGCAGAGATTTGGCCATTGGTCGAAGAGGCTGATGGAAAGGAGATGGCGCAATTCGTGGAGGAGAAAGCCTTCGCCAAGATCAAGCTTTCTGACGTTGCTGATGGCACCGTGATCATCGATGGCACCTGGGTCAGACGATGGAAGATGAAGCTTGGCAGGCGAATTGTGAAGTCTCGAATGTGCGCCAGAGGTTGTTTCGACCCTCAAAAGGAACACTTGAGCACGAGGAGCACTACGGCATCTCGCTTGAGTCAACGGATTTTGATGAGCACCGCAGCTTTGATGCAAGTGGATCCTGAATCATGGGATGTTTCTGGTGCTTTCCTCAAAGGACTCTCCTTTGACAAGATCCGCGAGATCCTGCTCTCCCAAGGCATCAAGACACCCACACGATCTGTGGTGTTGATCCCGCCATACAACTGTTGGCGACACCTGGCTGCTGTTGATCCTCAGTTCCACCTGGAACCTGATGAGATTCCACTTTATGGACTACAATGCCTCAAGCCCGTGTACGGCCTGAATGACGCACCAGTGGCCTGGCAATTGAGTGTGGGAGTGTCTCTGAAAGAGCAGCACGGTCAAGCTTCTTTGTTGGACGACAGTTTCTACTTCTGGAAGGATCCCAAGAAGAGTCCAACACTGCGTGCAGCTCTCACCACTCACGTTGATGACCTTGCAGTCGTTGGTGGTGGCAACTTCATGGACGACCTCTACAAGACAATGTGCAAGAAGTTTGGCAAAATCTCCAAAGAAAAGTTGCCATTTCCTCACTGCGGCTGTCTGTACTCCAAGACTAAGAACGGCTACAAGATCGATCAGACTGAATTCGCCACGAAGCTAAAGCCATCCACGAATCCTCCTGGAGGTGATGAGAGAGCACTGACCGCATCTGAAGTCACCGACTTGCGCTCAGTTGTTGGAGGTTTGCTCTGGCTGTGTTCAACACGATTGGACCTGGTGGCCGACGTGGGAGTACTACAATCAGCAGTATCTGCTCCTAAGGTGAAGCACCTTCGAGCTGCAAATCTTCTGGTCAAGAAGGCAAGCAGTCCTGACCGTGTTCAATTGGGCCTGCACTTTCGCCACTTCCATGGAGCATCCAGCTTCCGCCTTCAGTGCATACATGATGCATCCTCTCCAAGCAAAGGACGCTCCTATGCTCAAGAGGGAGTCATGGTCCTGCTCATGCCCGAACTGCCTCAGCACATCCTCAACCAGGACGAGATCACGTGTGATGATGCAACTACATCACAGCTGAACGGCTATGGGCACCTCTTTTTCGCTCATGGAGGAAAAGCTAAGAGAGTGTCATACTCAACCTCACATGCCGAGACATTGTCGGCAGTGAACGGCTTGGAAGCGAGCAGCATGGTCAGTACTCGACTGACTGAACTTTGGATGGACAAAGCCAAGCCGACCTTGAAGGACCTCACTCAGCACCAAGAAGAAGGCTCACGTTTGTTTCCAGTGGACTCCGCCACAGACTGCAGAGACTTCTATGAGCTGAGCACCGGATCTCGTGCTGTGCCTCAGGACAAGTTGCAGAGGCTATACATCGCCGCCATCAAGGAGGCACGAGTCACTGGTCGCCTTCGCTATTTCATGCTCATTCCAACTCAGAGCATGCTGGCTGATGCATTGACCAAGCCAATGATAGCACCACAGATGATGGAGTTTTTGAGCTCAGGACACCTCTTCATGAAGAACGAGCCCAAACATGTGGTGTTGCTTCGCCGCCTTCCTACACTTGAAGACCTTCGAGAAGAAGATTTGTGGAAGAGCGATGACCAGATTGCAAAAGAAGTACATCAAGGATCCAAGATGGCAAAATTGGCCTGCCTGACAAGCTTCAAACTGAAGCCATGGATTGCCACCCTGGCAATGACATCATTGATGATGACCACCGCGTCTGCACAAGGCCAAAATGAACCACCGAGGCCAAATGAAAGCGCCAACGACTGGACCTTCATGATCATGATCTTCGTCACCTACATGGCCCTTCGTTTTGGCGAGTTCCTTGTGACGTCAGGCATTCAAAGCCTTCTGCCTCGAAAGAAAATTGCCAGTCCACCATCTACTCCGCCGAACTGTCCAGCTGGAACACCAAGGACCCTGAATTTAGATGGATCTTCATCGACTTCCTCTACGGCACGACCAAAGCCGAGCTCTATTCCTGCGCCTTCCGCTGCTGTTCCAAAGATGCCTGCACCTGGCAGCCCGATCATCGACTGGTCTGCATCAGGCACGACCGTGTTCAAGCAGCCGCCGCCTGCGCCGCCGACTGAGAGCGCATCTAGCTCTGGCCCTGGCTATGAGCGTGTGTACTTCACCGCTACTGGTGAATGCTTTCATGTGAATCCGCAATGCGGACACTTGAGACATCATAATGTGATGTCAAAGCGGTACTGCAAAGACTGCTCCAGGATCCGAAACGCCAGTGGAGTTTGAAAACCCTTCACTGAAGTCACTTTTTGTCATGACACCTTTTCACGATCGCAGAGCGCTCTTGAGCTGGTTCAAAAGTCCGTCCTACCGACTGATTGGATACACTGATATATTGGACTAACCATTGGACTGAATTGAATCCACAAATGAACGGCAACCATCCAGAGTCCTCCCTAGCAGGCGCCAGGTCGCTGGGAGTTCAGCTCGAAGGCGGGAGTGGGCAAAGGGAAACCCAATCGCAGTGCATGAAAAAACAATAGGACCACATACTGTAACAAACACTAACAAAAGAACTTCGTGCCCTTCTGTTTAGAACATTTTGCGAGGCATAGGTCAAAGTATTTTCGTTCGAGTGAAACCAAAGCATCTAATGATCCAACTCCACTACTCTGGGGATGATCAGTGAACTTCAGAGGACGCTACCAACCCTTCAGTTTTCATGGGTACAGAAGTCCTGATGAGGTCCTTACTCAAGTTTAGTGCAGCTGTTCTAGCGCAGGACCTGCTGTTATTCACTGCAGACGGAGTTGGGCAACGCCCATTTCGCCGGGAAGTGCTGGAGGAGCTGCTGCGCTGGCAGGCGCCGAGCGCTTACAGGTTCAATGCGATTTCTTGCGCTATTGAAGGACCCCTTTCCCACCCAGCTAGTCAAGGCGTCGTTCACGTTGAGATATATAGAAACAAGCCAGAAATTCAGAGATTTAACTAACAACACATGAAAGAGACAAGACAACACAGCAAACGCAGAACAATCACCAAAGCAAACCTAACCAGCAGTTTCACCGGAAAAGGAAAGGGTTGGGCATAGCGTTGACCCGCATGAATCTAAGAGCCATGCAAGCAAACTTGAGTACCAGTGCAAGACGAAGCTGAGGCCTGTGCGGACAGTGCGTGTGCATATGTGTGCATGCAGTTTTGCACATGAACAGCACTTATTGGTTTGCAGTGGGAAATTCCATCGTGCCAGCACTCGCTGCCGCATCTCTTCGTGGTGTCCAAGCGTGACCAGCAAGGAACAGACAGCGTGGGAGGGAGAGTGGAACACTGAGGAAAACCATAGGTTTTGGTTGCTAGGATATTATTGAGTTTTACCGTTTTACCGTTTTGCGCGATGATTGGCACACAGAGAACAAAGGCGCAACTTGAACAGTTGCCCAAAATCTTCTGCAAGCAAGAGGTGGGTGTTGCGGCGCTTATTCAGGTACGATACTTGGGGATACTTGGGATATATATATATATATTAGTATGTATTATATGAGTAAGTATTATTTGAGTATGACCTGGATGGACAAGGTACAAGCAATGAAATGCCTCCAAGCAGCTGGATGCTTGAGTGTTGTGATCCTGCATTTAACCTTTCTCTAGTGCAGGAAACTCTTCCCCAGCTTGCGCCACGTGCTGCAATACCCCTTTGGCACCAGAGTGGAATCACCAGTCCGGGTCTGAGGGGCATTCCTTTTTGCACAATTGTTGAATTGTATGTTTGCGCACAGGGATGATGAACACAAGACCTGGTTGGACTGAATGCATGCTTGGCGTGCAGGACAAAGGATTCTTACTGTTCTTATCTGTTCTTTGAGTTATATTGAGTTATATATTTGACTCATTTGACTACTTTCCCTCCTTTGCGTCTGTGTACTGTGGGCACTTGATGGTTCCTGAATCTGAAGCAGGTGTCCCAAAACTTCGAAGACCTAGAGACACAACAAATCGTGACGACGGTGCTTCTTCGTTACCGCACAACGCACTTCGCTGTGTTTGTACAAGCACCAGCAGCAGCTGGTATATCTCTCCGGGTGCAGCTTGCTTTTAGGGTCAATGCTTCAGGCCGGTGCTTTCGCACGACAGAGCTCAGGCATAAGCAGGCAGCTCTTTAATTAAGGGCTAATTAAGGGCAATCTTCAAGCGCACGTAGACTTGTTCTTTGTTTCCGTGTTTGGCTGAGGAGCGCGGATGCCATAATTGTTCGCCGGCAAGCGCATTGACGAATCAAAGGCTAGCATATCAAAGACACTCCTTTTGGTTGGTACAGTTACAGGGACTAAGGCATGTTTACATCTGCCATGACAGGATGAATTCATGCAGTACAGCAAATAAATGATTGGTGCACAGAGTGCTAAGTCGAGCGTCTCATCCGATTCATCCAAGGATTCGGCGGGCACTTTTTTGTCCAGTACTACCTGGTGCAGGGCCACCCAGAGGATCCAAAGATCTTTTGCAGGTCTTGGAGCCCTGAAATTCGTGGCGCTCGCGGGTCGCTTGCGGGTCGCTCCCACAAGGTCTGAGTTGCTGGTCGTAATTCGCTCAAAAGTGGTACTGTTTTTGTTTTTCGTCTACAGGATTGGACAAGCCATAATATCATAATGTATCAAACATACTGTACACTAATGGGAGAATGCATAACCTTATTGTGAGTTGGCGTTGCATTAAATACTTGAAAGTTAAGTATAACATAAAGATCCCCGAAGCAAATGAGCAGCTTCAAAAACCTCTATGATGGAAAGTGTGCAAACTGTAATCTCACATTCTTTCGCGAAAGCCAAAACGCAGGTCGCGAAAGGTTCGCGAAAGCCCCGCGAAAGAACCCCAGAAGAACAGCGTCGCGAAAGCTTTCGCGAAAGTCGAATTTCTTGTGCATGTCGTGTTGTTTATGTGGGTGACCATATTTTTATGCAGGCAGCCGCAGCAGGCCAGCCAGCCAGCCAGCCAGCCGCAGCACACCAGCCAGCAGCAGCAGCAGCGCTGAAGAGCAAGTGTTTCAGGGGAAAATCGAAAAGCCCAGACGAATTTCCGCGAAACCCGCGCGAAAGCCTCGCGAAAGAACCGCGAAAGTCGAAAATATCCGGGAAAGGTATCTGGCCCCAGCAAAAAGTTTCAGCAAGTTTTCCTCCTCTTCTGATGACAACAATAATACTTGAACGGTGCTGCTACAACTCCTTGTGCCAGGATGTTGCCGGAAAGAAATTTGTTCAGTTTTGACCACCCTAAGGACACTTATATCGGATAACTTATATAGATCAATATCCCAATCGAATTTCCCAATCGAAAACGAATCGCCGCGAAAGCCGCCGCGAAAGCCCCACATAACACCACACCTTCCGCGAAAGCCAGAATGCAGGCCGCGAAAGCTCCGCGAAAGCTTTGCGAAAGCAAACCTGGATTATACAAAAAAGTAATAGGGGTTTTCGAAGCTGCTCAAATGTGCTTTCAAGTTGATGAATAATGAGCCGCTGGCAGGACAACACTTTTCGTATGCGTCTCTTCCATGCCGTACGCACCTCAACTTGGAGCTTGGAGGGAAAATGTCCTTGTGAGAAAAGACCTGGCGGTCCTCCAATGTCTTCTCTCGGAGGAGAACTTATTGCTTAAGCAGACCTATATACACTCAATTTGCACCAACTGACTGAGAAGCGTCACAAGAATTGAGTGGATTTGTTGTAGAGTAGTTGTTCGTCCTCAAGGAGTTTCAATGAGTTTTGTTCAAGGTCTTAGCTGGATGCCTTCCGGTGGTGATGCTGTTCCCAGGCGGCAGCTGGTGAGCCACCTGGGGGAGGGCGGTTCCGACAAAGTAAATGGCGTGTTTGGAAGTGCTTGGATCAGTTTGGCCTCCGCCTTCCTTTGGATGCCTTAGGTGTCCATCAAGCTAGGCTTGCATCTGTCATTTATTTGCTGTGATAGCTGACCGCTGTGGATGCACATTCCGATCGTAAGTGTGCTTGAAGTGGATTGAATGTCTTGTGCCAGAGGTACCGGAACCACGGGCCGCCAGTTGAATGGAGTTTGCCTTTTCCCAGTCGCGTGGTTCAAGACTGCTACCCAGGGTCTTATCCGAGCCGGATTCTTCAGAAGGTAAACAGGTCCAGGTGTTGAAGGCCTTTTGGACAATATGAACAATTGGCATCATCTTTGATCACGGTTTTCAGCCAAGGCCAAGTGGACTGGCGAGGCTTCAGTATCGAGCTGCCCTACGATCCTGCCAGGGAGGTGACTTGTGCAGAGACTGAGGTGGAAATGGTACTTGGATGTACTTGGGCCCATTCCACTTGTTCTCTTCTACCCAAGGCCGCTGGACTCGACAATTCTCGGCTGGGAATGCAGTTTTAATTTCAAAGTGCATTTGCCTTCGCCTTTCAAACATCCTCCGACTACATGTAGTTGTAGCAGCGGTTTATGCTACCATTTAGTTTGGTTTGCACGTACAAAGAGGTTCCAAGATGTTCCAAGTTCCAACCGTCTTCCTGATTCTGACTGGACCAACAGTGAGTCATGCTAGTGCCCGCCATGCCATTTCTTTGGCCAGTTTTCAGGTAGGATGCTTGCGCAATTGCAAGATCCTAGCCCAAACATATACTGTACACATCCAGACATGACGATTCACCCTCTGGACCTCAAGATGATTCACCCACGGATGATGTTTCACCTTGTCATCGGACGCTCCGAAGGACTTGGACACTTGGGCCAAGCGGTTAGTCCCGACATTGCTGAGGCAGGGGTTGCGCATTTGAAACACTGCATCTGAGGATCGCACGTTGCTTTTCCAGATAGGTTGTACCTAGAGGAACACTATTGGGTTAGAGGCCATTGCTATTAGGATGAACTGATGAATCCACTTTGCTTCTCCTGTGGTGGGCTTAAGGCTTCAGGTGGGAGAGATTCACCAGAAGCAAGAGATCTTGTCAAAAGCTGTGCCTCGCCGATTCATTTGTTGGTGAATTTGAGACAGGCAAGTTGGAGAGGTAGGATTCGCAATGCCCAGAAGCTCATAAGAAGTCGCATGTCCTACTTGCGTGAGCCAAATATGTTTGTCAGAGAGAGAGATACAGTTACAGTTTTCAATGCACACTTGTCAAAAGGAGCGATAAACTGGAAAGATTCTCAGACTTTTGTAGGTTGGAGGCCATCGCTATTACTCGTAGGTTGGAGGCCATCTCTTAGGAGGCCAACAATAGACAGCAGGCCAGTTTGGGCTCCTGCCATCTCGGAACCAGGTACCTTTCCTCCGCTATGATTTTGCAGGGACCCAGCCGGCTGCGAGCTTATGTGCGAATCGGTAAAGCACATCGTGAAGTTTGGTGAATCTTATGTAGCGTAATTATGGCGTAATTGCAAAGATTAATGTGCATTAATTACTATGTTACAATATGTTAGTTACTATGTTTGGACAATTGGGGAACCTTGGCTTGAATGGGGGTCTCAGCCCACTGCCACATTATTTGCAGCAGGCCAAATGGTACCAAGCGGCCAATTCTCACAGATCTCAGGATGCATTCACCGCTTTGCTGAACCAGCTGGCTGAGCGACCGCTCCGCAAGCCAGTTTTTTGGCATCAAATGGGTTGGACAGTGCGAGGTGGTAGTCCTATTCGAGGGAGGCAAGGGAGGCAGAGCAGAAAGGGCTGCAACACGGGGAAGGAGGCAGGGAGGCAGGGAGGGAGGGAGGGAGAGGGTATATAATATAGAGACACAGAAAGAAATACAGAACAGGCTGGTGGGCAGAACGGATGTCTAACAGTCGGAATCTTGGTTTGTCGTTTTTCAGGTATTGAGTCTTCCAGAGTGTTTATGTAATTCTTCTTTGTTTCCTCTTTCGCCGATCCTTTACGTTAGGAGCTGGACTGCTTTGACCCACGAGAGCGTTTCAAGACGGACCGTTGCCTATCCGGGGCGAAGACTCTTATGAACGAGGAGGGAAGCAGTTTTTAGCCACACTTGCTTTTGTAGACATGCAGCTTTTTCACTACAGCTTGTCAGGTTCAGGCCGTCCATACTGCAGCTTGTCATCCCACACAGGCCAATAACCGAACCCAAGAAGATCACCAGAGTGCTGAAAGGTGCAGTCCAGGCCAGAATGAGAAGATCACCAGAGCAATGAACGATTGACACTTGAACTTAATGGATCTTAACGGTATAAGCTTCAGGATTCATGAAGAACAACACAGAGCACACACACACACTCAAACCACCGAGAATGGCAGATTGCCGATTCCCCAAAGTACCTAACCCTAACATACCCTAACAACGTCGCGCCGCTGTGCCCCAGTGGGTGTCACAGATGAAGTCTAATGCGAAAGGAACATCCCCCTCGGGTGAGTGACGTGACACCATTTGACACTGACACCTCAATGTCGGTCTTGAACACCAACATCCAACAAGCCAGCTTCAATGCTCCACATTGTGACCCATTTGCCCTCTGGCCATCCTAACTTGTCCAAAGGCATGCTGTTCAACTGGAATAGGGTTTGCTCTCTGAATTCCGCAGAGGAGAAGGAGATCTTTGGCATAAGGGCATGCTGTCCGAAGTGGGCAAGTCAGGCAAAGATGGCATGCCCATGGAGGAACGAAAGCGGAAACAGACAAAACAAGACCAAAAGGATACGGATAAGGTATGACAAGGTGACATTTGCACCTGTATGCGCTTGGGATATGAGTGGTCAGTTCTTCCAGTTCTTCCCTCTTGTGAATCTGGAGGCCACGAGCTGATTCCTGGAGGCGTGACAAGGTGTGATCTGACTTCGGGCCGGTCTTCCATGAACATGCTATGCGTTAGATTCATGTGTCATTCATTGTGGAAGTGAATTCATGGAATGTAAACCACATCCGAAAGACTACTCGGGCTGTCGCTAGGCTTCGGCAACCTGCACAAGCGCTTGGAGTTGCAGGCTTCCTGACCGGTCAGCGGAAGGCGGGAGTGATCCGTTACAGACAATTCAGAGTCGGTGTCGGAGTATGTCGGCGTGCAACACAAGCAATTCCTGACATTTGACAGAAACCCTTTGACACTGGGGAGAGGACTCCAACTGACCATACCACATCATTTGTCATCAAAATTGCTTGAATGCTTGGGTGATGGTTCAGAGCTGAAAAGGCAAGGCGGTGGTCATCCTCGGTGCCCCAATTTGTTCCTTACTTTTTTGTACCAGCGTTGCGAAGATTGATAAGGCAAGGATGATAAGGTTGGACCACCATTCTAGTTTAGTGCACATTGTCAACTCCGACCCTAGGTGCACGGTCCGGGGCCACTGCAAGAAGGACTTCGGCATGAAGAAGCATTTAGCAACGTCACGCAGCGACCTTGGTCAAGATCAGATCAACGAGATGCTTGACATATATTGAAATGTTTGGAATGACAAACATCTGACTGTCAGGAGGTCTCCAAGAAGGGATGAGTGAGCAGATGTGAATCAAGATGCGCCCGCGGAAAAGAGCGGATCTTCCCGACAAGAAATGCCCAAAGACTTTGGATACAAAGTGGGTGTAACATGCTTGCGTCCGGTGTGGTTGTTTGATATGCAGCGACTGCAAGCAGTGAGTCGGTGACCAAACAGCTAGAATCAGAGTCCGGAAGGCTCAACCAAATGGCTTTGACTCCAATAGCAACGACAAATAGCAATGGCTTCCGACCTAATTGCGATGGCCTCCAACCTAAGAGCGATGGCCTCCAACCTAATTGTGTAGGCTTCTTGGCTCTCCTTTTTCCAACATGGTGGGTGCCATGCAGTTCTTTGTTTCGGTGACTTTGCTGGGGATGAGGACGCTGGCTGTGGAGAAGCTCACTTTTAAGGAAGCGCTGCAACAGCCGTTCGAAGGCTACTGCGCAGAGGCTCCTGACGCACAGCGATCCGGTTTCCCAGAGCCACCGCCTGTCCACCTGCTGCGGGACTTGGGCACATTTGGGGACACACCGCGTCACCTTTTTCATGAAGCAAACCATTATATAAATATTATTGACATGAGGTTGCACTCGGGTGCACAAGAGGAATAGCCGAGCGATGCTAAGCAATATTATGCGCAGAACAGATTGCTCCTTGCCCTGAAGGAATCAAATCTTCAGCTTCGTGGGGTGCAATTGGTATTCCGTCATGGTGCTCGAGATTTGTCATCTGACAAGCCATGTTTCAAGCCACTGCGGTGCCCCAGTTGCATTTGAGTTTCTTTAAGACACCTAACAGTCGACCACGAGAACACAGACGCCTTGGGTTGCAGCTCCACGACGGTGGGTACGCTAAGAGGGCGGTTCTGCTTGGCAATTTGTGTTCAAACAGGTTCACGATGTTCCAGAGCTCTTGCTCCTCTCTCTTTGTTCCCAACCTCCAAAGGTTTGCTTGACTGGGAAGGTGTCCGCACTTGCCTCGGAAGACCAGGATGATGATAACAGCTATGAGCAGTGCAAAATTGCCGCTCTTCAAGAGACCAGCGGTGTTAACGACTGGCTTGTCCATCTCAGTCTTGTTATGTTCTCGACTGAGCACTCAACAGGAGAGCAGAATAGCATGACAAGCAGCACTCTACATATATGTGTTGGCAATATTGCCCTGCCAAACAAACGCTCTGCTACCGGATGGTTTTCTGTGATGGATGAGATGATGAGATGGGTGTGCGGCTCAGAGGGGTCAAGTAGGGCATAGCATTTCGAGGCCTTTGAGGCTTTCCGAGACGATGACATTTGACATGTGATCCAATCAATGTGCTTGCTGGGCGCCTTTCGTGGTTGATTTCGTGGGGTCCATACGCTGGCCTATCCGCTGGGCCACTGGCCACTGCTCACAAGTAGCAGTGCTGGCAAAGGGGAAGCCTTTTGAGTTTGGTCTTCGGACGTTTGCATGTGATTCCTGCAAGAGCAACATCATGCAGCATCTCTAGCTATAATTATAGATATGATCATTGTTAATTACTGGTTGCATGATTTTTCAAGCAGCCCAGCTTCACCGCTGACACCACATAGCGACCGGCTTGCCTCCTCGAGTGCATTCACAATAGACGTTTACACGGGTGATGCCTTGTGTTTTTACTTCTTGTTTTTGTCACCCGGATTAGTTTTTCATTCTTTTTTAAGCGACTGGATTAGCGAGCGGACACTTTGAATGCTTTAAGAAATGAGTGCTTAGCGTCACTGCGTCACTAGCTAGTCACTAGCTGTTTCCAAATGCTGTTTTCGTTCCTAAGGCGGGCCTTCAAGAACTGCTCAGTACAGACCCTAGTCTCCTTTACGGGCTTGGCACCCTCTGATCCAGAGCCGCTGGTCCGTGAGGTTCTTGATGCATTTCCTCTGAGAGAAGCTTGCTTTAGATTGGAATCAAGGGAGAGCCATGACAGATGGGCCTTTAGGCAGCTCGGTCAACAGATACTGGCAATAAAGATACCAACAGAAACCCAAGTGCACAACCAAAGAATTCATGTTTGTACCGATAGCAGTTCCCTGTGTGTGGTAGGTGTGCGTGTGGGTGTACACCTTGGGGTCACAGGTTGCTGGTGTTTTGAAATGTTATATGCAGGTACTGTGTGCAACGAAGCTACGGTCGTGGATGGGAGGGGAAGGCTGATCACCTTCCTGTACCTGCATTTGTGAGCATTGTCATTATCTTCCCTCGCGAAGGTCTTCAGGCTGTTGCAGGTTGCGTCGATTCTGAACTTTGACTTTGCATACCTTTGTCCTGAGTGTGTGCTCTCCATCTCCCCAAGTGGAACAGCCCCCTACCACCCTGTACTTACGTTAGATGTTCAAATATGGTAGGTGATCATATCCGAGGTTCATTGACTTAAGCATCCTCATCTTGAACAGGGGGTTTTGAGTTAATTAGACTTGAACAGCCCAAGTTCACCAGGAAGCGGATTTGCCTGGCTCTGGCTACACCTCGGGCCTCGAAGGGTGTGGTCTGGGAGTGCTTCTGGATGATGCCATTCCGCAGACCAAGGCTCTTGCAACAGAGCTTCGCAGGCAATATTTTCACCGCTTTTCAGAGCCTCCAAGCATGACGCTTGGATTTTCATAAATTCATAGAAGTAAAGCCAAGCACCAAGCCAATCCTAACTCAACCAATCCCGTTATGGTTGACAAATTCGGATATCAAGATCCTCGTGGTGCCATTTTCTAGCCACTTGGCAATCATTCATTGATCAGGGGCCAGACGTGCCCATTCCCATGTTGTTATATGTTGTTCATGACATGTTCAATCCTTAGTGCAAAAACCGTCGCAGTCTGTGGAAGTCCAACAGTGAGGCATCATCAATATGTTGATCGCAACGTAGAGGATCTATGAAGATGAATATGTTTATGTATCTCTATATATATATATGCTGCACGTCAGGGAACCTCCAAACTCAGACATACAGTAGCATGTTAACGCGTCGCTTCAGTTTTTGACCATGCAAGGAACACTACACGGCTCTACTCCACAGGGAAGCTACGCACAGAGGCCACACTCTTTCTGATGCATCGTGAGCTCTTTGGCGATGTTCCCGGCGCTTTGAGCTGCATTGGTTGACTCATTCAACCAGCGAGTTGCTGATTGGCAGGACATAAAATTGTTGATGGTATCGGTATCAGTGTTGTAGAAAGCGGGAAGGGAAGGGGGAGTCCTGGAAGGAGCTTGCCAACAGAGCCCAAACTATCCCAAACCTAGATTCAGCCTAGTATCAATCGTCACTGCCAGAATTTCTGAAGTGCAATTGCAAGGGCAACCAGTGGCAACCAGCACTAGTACCCTTCCCGAGGTGCACGCCTCTTTTCCCGACCGGTGTCTAGCGATCCCTGGGACATGAATCAACATTGTCCTCGAGCAGGGCATGCACGCCATGCGAGGCACTACAAGACCAGTCAAGCCCTGATCGAGAAACGCTTTCCAGCCCCTTGCAATCAACTGAACAGATTCTTTCTATTTCTGGTTTGGTTTCCTTTTCGCCTTTTGGGTGGTTCAGTCAAGGCTTTTGCCAAACAATGGAGGCTCGCTGCAGGGACTGACTTCCAGGCAGGCTTCCATGACTGCTTGTTGGTGGCCAAATGCTCAAAGCAGTTGGAACTGCCAGAGAAATTGGAACCCGAGAGCTCCCTTTTCACAGAGGCTTTACGCGTGTCCCTGCTGCTATTCCAAGAGCATTACATGCATGATCCTGAAGCCCTTCACTTGCTGGCAGCCCCTGCTCTTGTAGAACTTGAAGACTTCATTCTGCGGCAAGCAGGAAATTCAATGCCCTTGGCACTCTGGGCAACCCATGACGCAACAATTTTGGTCCTGCTGGCAGCCTTAGGGCTCTGGAATGGGCAATGGCCACCTTATACAGACACACTGTTGATAGAAGTGTATGTGAAGACAGGTGAGATCCCTATGGAACCTGCCGCATTCTTCCGCTTTTTGCACCATGGACATCCAGTGACCTTCCCCTGGTGTGAAACTTACTTTCCGGAACTGCCCGGGCTTTGCGATGTGAAGTCGTTCCTCCCGCCCTGGATTGCTCCCTTCCGTGACCTGCGCCGCCTGCGGGATGCCTGTTACACCAGGGTCGAGCGCGGCACAGAAGCCTCGGTAGAGCTTCAAGAGCTTGGTGGGAGTGCCGGCAACATTGCGGTGAAGGTTCGGGCATGTCAAAACCATCTTATATACGCAATAGAAGATGAGAAAACATTGCAAAACTATAGAAAGACATTTAAAGCCATTTCAAATACTCTAGAAGACAAACTGACATTAGTGGCACCTACTAACAACTGCTGATTAAGACATTATACATACTGTAGATGTCGAAAACTACTGTAGTGACCAAGGCGACATCCCACAGACACATCTCTAGAAAGCATAAGACAGTATGTGTAGAACGCAAGATGCCCAGAGTCCCACACTTGGGTCACTGAATTTGAGGTGCTCTTTGGTGCCTTCTTGCTCTTGCTGGGCTACTCCTGGAGGGAGATCTCCGAGCTCACACTCCGGACTCGCAAGCTGGCTTCAGCTCGGACTGCGCTGCTACAGTAGCATAAAAACAGATCAGGTCACCAAGCATTTTTGAACAAGGTTCCACGATGGACAAGAAATGAACACATTGAGCAGGCCTCAATTTCTATGATGTTCGATGGTTTTGACAAAGGTTACTATATTATATAGAATATACAGTAATTAATATATGTGTGTAGGATTTCCAATCCCCTGACAAACTGGGATGTTCACCTACATGCCCACCCAGATTGCGCGTGCCGCTGCTCTGAGCTGTGCTTTGCTCAATGTTGTTTGTTGGACTCATTCTTTTTAAGCAGTCACCAGAGAAAAAAGCAGGGCTTCTGCATGTTCAGTTGCGGTTGGGCAAGACAATCCATGACAAAACTGTAGTTCTGTTTGGAGGATCTCTAGGTGTACAGGTGTCATCGTCAGATGTCATCGTCAGTCACTTCGGCCTTGCACTTCCATGGGTCGGAAGAAGCCTCTCACAGAAGATGATCTAAACAAGTTGCTGGAGAGCCGAGCGACAGAAGGCACCTTTGCTGTGTGTGAGTTCCGGGCATTTGGGAGAGAACGACAGTCAGGAATGGGTGTATATACATGTGTGTCGGCTTGGAATCTCCAGGCGAGAGAGTTCTTATGAGAGGCCATCGCTCTTAGGTTGGAGGCCATCGCTAGTAGGTTCCTTTGGCTATTCAGTTCAATTTGATGCCCAAGTGACATACCTGAACCGAGAAACCAGTGGCTTGGAGAGGACGTCTTCATTTGCAGAAGGTGGCGCTGGGCCATTTCAGCTGCGAGTGGCAGTTGCTCAAGCGTTGCCCGGAGTTGCTGGCAGAGCCTCGCCACAATAAATCTTGTACAAGTAACTTGGGAGCCTCAACTATCAAGTGTGTAGGCTGCGTGAGGCATGTGCCAGGCAGAGACATTTCTCTTCTCTTTCATCCAGAGATTCAATGACGAGGTCAGAACTCCTTCCTTGCACTGGGTCAAAGTCTGTGAAAGATCTATCCCATGTGAGTATTTTTGCTATTTCACCTTTTTGGGACACTCCACTCAATTCAACTGTTTCTTTTTATATAAAAGCATTTTTGTTTACCCACTTATGTGTTTACCTCTCAGATTGCCAAGGTGAACCTTTCTGAATGTGGATTAACCGCTGCAGTGTTGCCTGAGCTGTGCAATGCCTTGCCCAAATCCTTGCAAGAGGTTCAGTCGCTTGCTTTCAGATTGAGGGAACTCCATGAGCTTCAAGGCTGAGGGCGCTTGTTTCGACTCCTGCATCTCTCCAACATCCATGCCAGAACTGATGTTTTCATCGATTGCCGATTTAATTTTGGCCAGCCGCTATCTGCTAGCCAATGAAAGCACTTGTTGATCTCAACGACGACTGTGATGGTGTCCACTCTTCTTGCGCTGGCTCGCAGTGGCTGAGGAATTGGGACTAGATAGCCTCTCTCTCTCTCTCTTGCGCGGCCTTTCTGCTCGAGAAAGTAGTGAAACAGTACTCATGCATAGTCGTGCCATTGTGCGCAGGTGTTTGTAAGTTTAAAATATTCATATTATCAATCACTATTAAAGTATTTTCCGAAGACTTTGAGGCAATCACATGACAGCTAGCCTTTAAGCACAAACCACTCTAGGCCGGTCCAACTGGCTGCGATGATTCCCCAGGTGCTTATCGCACTTCTGCTGAATGTGGATGCCTTGGATGCGATTGTGTCCATTCCATACCTGAATTTACAAGCAGAGTCAGAGGCTTTGTTGAAGGCCTTTACAAATGATGGGATAGTGCTGGTGTCCGGTGTCCCAGGCTATGCTGCTGCACGACGAGATGCGCTCACAGCCATGCACTCGTGCTTCGACCATCCCAAGGGGCACACCTTGAAGGAACGTGAATTGGCAGATGGGTCCCAGAGGCGCACAGCTGCAGCAGAGACCAATGGTCATACACTTGGCCCTTTGCAAGTCGGATGCGCAGAATTTGAACAGAAAGCCGACGTGCTTCGAACTGTCGTGCATATGACTTTGATGGAAGTCACTCGACTTTGGGGTCTTGCTGGCAATCATGAGAACAACGTTGTGCTAAGACACGAAGCTGGGCACCCCTACATGAGCTTATCGGAGGCTGTATCTAATGCAAGACATTTGGAACATTTCCACATGTACACCTCGTCCGTGCAACAAAAGGGTGATGGACATGCCAGTCTTGAGCTTCACACAGATGCCGGTTTGTTATTGGCCTTTGCCTCACCCCTCTACGAGAACAGCGAGAGCAGCAGCCAGAGCCAGACTCGTGAATCGCCCAACCCCCCAAGTGGCCTTCTAATTCAGCGTGAGGCGCTGGAAGCTGTGGAGCTTCCTGCGGATGCCATCGCCTTCGTGGTCGGTGAAGCTTCGAGTTGGTTGCCGTGGCCAAGCCGTCCACTGCCACATGAATTGCGGTTGCCGATGGGAAAGAGGGCCTGGTATGGAGTGATGGCTCGGCTGCCAGATGATGCTTACCTCTCCACAACCAACCTTTTATGTTGTTTTGACATATGTACTTTGTTGTACATTACTGACACTATGTCACTATATAACTATGTCGATGTGTTTTGTTTCATATTTCTTTTCTGACAACCAGGATGCAGTGAAGACAGCAGATTTTGACCCAACCTTGGCACAGCAGAAGACTTTTGGCAAATGGTGGCGCGATGCCACTGTTGCTGTCACCACTGCCGCTGGAGTTGGGTGCGGCAGTGCTGTCGCGACTGACCAGACTCATATGTGTCCAGAAGGTCAAAAGTATTGCTGGATGCAGTGCATGACACTCCCGCCTGCTTGCACAGAGGCCACAGCAACATGTGTACATCCTGATGGCACTCCATGGACAAACCAGACGGAAATGTGCCCGACATGTACTCTAACCTGCCCTTCCTTTGCTGGATGGGACTTTTGTGATGAGTCGGCCGCGTCAGACATGATCATGCAAGGTTTTGTCACATATGGCTTCACCGGAAGCAAAACGAAACCGTGTGTCATTTTGTTCTTTTCGAGCTGGGTCTTGAACACTCGCTGGAAGTTCTGGGTGGGAACGTTGGGTGTGTTCGCTTTGGGCGCCTTCATCGAATGGGTTGCCACCCTCGCAGTGCATCCTGTCAACAGTCGGTTGTCGCGCTTTCTTCAAGCAGCACTCTACTGCTTCAGGATGAGCTTGGCATACCTTGTGATGTTGGCTGCAATGACCTTCTGTGTGGAGATCTTCTCTGCGGCGGTCCTCGGCCTGGGCTTCGGCCATGCCTTCTTTGGACACCAACGCAAAGGGACCATGTCCGGCCCCTCTTTGTGCTGCAGCCATGGGTCCGAGGTGAGACGCAGATCTCGGGACATTCGGGTGACTCCTTGTTTGCAGGCGGACACCTGCATCATTCTTCGCGTCCATGGCATGACTTGTGGGAGTTGTACCCAGACTGTGTCCCGGGCTTTGGAAGGCGTGAATGGTGTTGCGAGCACCTCTGTGACGTTGGGTCGTGGCCCTGGAGGTGTCATCGGCCCGGAGACAACTGGACTGGCAGAAGTCTGGGTGAATGCTGGGTTTCCTGGCGTGGAGGCCGCAGTGGCGGCTGTTGAAGAGGCCGGCTTCGAAGCCCAGTCCATGTCGAAGACCTGAGAAGACTCCGTAGCAAAGAGTTCGCTTTGTGAGACGCACAGAGTGACTTTCTAGTAACTAGTAGGTTGGAACGCATGAGCATAGGCAGCACAGGCTCAAAACTGGGTGTGTCCTCAAAATTGGGATTGAGAGTTCTTCGCTTCTTCCTAAGCAAACAAGGAAAGTACTGGGACCAGCCATGTGGCTTTTTCAGTATATTTGGCAGAGATGCTGAGATGTTGATGTTGAAGGAAAGACAATTGGCCGCACCCTTCCTGTGATAAGATTAGCGGGGTGAATGGCCAAGCCATGCCTGTCAATTCACAGAGCAAGGGCTCTGGTGCCAACCGTGTCTTGGTGCAAAAAATGTCAAGCAGGCTATGCAAAAGTACCTGAAACATGACCAGTCCTGACCAGTCCTTCATCATAAGCTGAGCTTCACCTTTGAAGGCTTCGACTTGTGCATACGATGTCAAGAGCGAGCGAGGCTAAGTGGAAATCTTCTGGGGCCTCAAGCGCTGGACACCTTGGACCCTCGCTGGCACTGATCCACTGCAGTTGCCGACGCAAAACAGAAAACATCAGAAAACAAACAATCAATCACCAATCCGTTGGATCTCCTGTATCATTCAAGCCATTATTACGCATCCTGTCCGTTCTCCCTTTTGTGCTGAAGAGACTTCAGCTTTGACCTCAAATAAAACGACAGTTGGCTCAGTTGGGTGCAGAAATGGAGAGGTTTAGTGACTAAAGTTTAGTGAGCCTTTCCACAGCTGTTTGCAAGGTGCCTTGGCTTGGTGGCCTGGACTTGCTGCATCGCCTTGCACTGGGCGGGTGTGCCCTTGGCGCCAGTGCCAGTCGTTTGGCGCTCTTCCTTCAGAGGTCGTTGCCACCACTGAGAGTGGTGAACCTGCGGCGGAACGACACTAGGACAGCGTCAGAAAATAATGTTTTCTCCCAAGATGCAGGATTCACCCCAAAGTTGGAATTTTACATGTCACAATGTACGGTGCCTCTGGGAATTGTTGCTCAACCTTTGGTGTAACTCCCACACTACCTCTCTCTCAGATGCCGCCCCATGAAGCAGATCTCATTCATTGATCAAGTGTAGGGGAGTGAGTTTCCTCCCACCATGGACCCTCGGGGGTCGATTTTGATCATTCTATAGAGGGTATTTTATAGACAAGCACGGTGATTTTACAAAGAATGCCACACCTCGGCGTCAGGCATTCTATATACTATAGACCATGGATTATATAGAGGAGGATTGGATTTTGATGATTGCTCTCATCATCGAGAACATTTCAGAGGTACGTGGAGAATCATACTGTTGAGGTCCTGTGCGCAATATTTGGGCATTGGCTGTTTGGAAGGGGGCAATTGGGTGAAGGGCCCTGATTCTATAGAGGATAATTTGGAGGCTCGCAGTTTGCAGGGAGTGAATGGGAATGAGGTCTTTCAGAACCCACAGATCCCGCTTCTATAGTACGATAGTGCTTTATAGTACGATAGTGCTTGGCTGTTTGGAGAACCCTGGGGGGTCCACTATAGAATATAGAATTAAGGGACCTGCTATATGTTATCGACTTTATTGACGTATGGCTATTGGTGTGTGTGTGTGAATCTATAGTGGACCAGTGTGAGGTCCAAATTGCAACCATGAGGGGTGTGATTCTATACTCTGAAGCCTTTTGTTCCTCATTCCTCCTTTGGGTGTCTGGACTTTGTAGTGGATAACCCTGTGATCAAGTGTTGCTTGACTTGATCGACAATCAGGAAGGTTACATAGGTATACTGATTCATACCAAGGTCTCAGCTTCCATTTCTTGCAGAGAGTGGGGTTTGCGGTGTCACCGCGGTGTGCATAGCTAGTCACTGCCAGTCAAGGAGATCCCTTCAGCTGCTTGTGGGCTGCTGACGGATGCGGCTGTGGAGAGTGCTACTCTGCAGGAGTTCTCGTTGGCAGCGAATGAGGCAACGCCCGAAATGCTCCGGAGGTGGGGAGCGCAGAAGCTAGTTTTGAGGTTCCTTCTGTGATGTTGTACACTCAATCGAAGTATGCAAGGTCCATTCGATTAGTTTATCATCACTTGGTTGGAAAGGGCTATTGACTGGTGGAAGGGATTGGGAAGGAAGACTTTGCAGAGTTTTGTGACTGCTTTTGCGGGGATTTATCACTGACAGCTGACCACCCTGAAGGATGAGATGAGGGTTTTGCCAAAAAACAAATCAAAACCATCATACCACATCGACAATTGGCGCAACAAATTCCTGAAGTTTTCAATTGTTTTGCTGGTCGCTTTGTTTGGGACAGGGGGAGTGGCATGCGCTGCGTTTCACCTTCACATTGGGCAATCTCGGTCCAAGCCGCTGATGCAGGTTGGAGAAGGCTTTGGCAAAGCTGCTTCGGCTCAAGAGAGAGGAACGGGGATAGGCTGAGAAACAGGCTGTTGGGGCATGTTAAAGCCTGCAAATAGAATACTGTTTTTTTAATGCAGGGGGGGCTAGAGTAGGTAGGTAGGTGTTACTAAGTAGCTACCAAGCTACTATCTAGTAGCTTCTTAGGCTTGGACGTAAAGGAGCTCAGGCTCAATGATTCATGATTTGGTTTCTAGATTTGGGAAACTTTGGAACGCCTTCAGACTCCACTTAGTAAGTGATCCACATGTTGCTTCTATCCTACAGTGTCCTACTTCCATTGCCGTTCATGCTCAGCGGCGATCTTGCTGTGCTCAGGAAGATGTTCATTGCCAGCGTCAGCTCTGATGGTTTGCTGTGCGACTTGAGAAACCGGAGCTTCACGACTGCGGGCATCCAGAGCATCACGGAGCTCCGGGAGTTCTCCTCTTTGCCACTCGACTTCATTCAGCACAAATCAAAGACCCAACAAACTCTTCTTAGCTTTGCTTCTCTTATCTTCGCTCAACGTGTTGATCGTTGTGAAGTTGAACACTACTTTGGCCTTTCGGATTTTTTGGCATCTGAGGCGCTCTCTGGATTTGTGTGGCAACGCTTTGACAGATGAGGCCGCAGAGGTCCTCCTCTCTGGTTTGGGGGCCAGCATTGAAGAGGCGCGGCCAAGCAGGAGGCATTACATTACTTTTTAATATCTTTTTGAGTTGAGTAGGCCAACGTTTTGTCCAAGTCTTGCGCCTTTATATAGATACTCTTGGGTTTGATTTAAGGTCCTAAAGCCGTTCACTAAGAGCTATTGACTTTCCTGAACATGCTATTCTGGCAGCCCTGATCAGCCATCTCCAAATTGGTCCTTGAGGCCCTACCGGCTCCATGGATGAAATCCTGCACTGCGTTCAACTTAGAAGAGCACACTGGGAACACACACACACACACCAACGGTATTGACCACACGTACATGTAATATATATATATATACACGTATACCGATATATATATACTAATAATGATAGTATATAAAAATAAAATGTATACATAATATATACAAAGTAATACATTATGGGTGTACTTATATATATACATATCAACTTAGCTGGGAAGAGTGAGTGGAAGAGTGACAGCTGGTAGTCCCCATTGTCACCAATCGCCTTTGGTTGTATGCAAACTGTTGTTTGTCGGAGACAAATATTATTCAAAGTGCAAGGAAACAATCGGCTATTGACGGGGACAAGGACATGTAAGCGCCTCAGTCTTGTAGCTACACCGTGTTTCCTCTCTCACCGTTGTGCTTTAGCAAGGATGACAAAGCGTGGGGAAACCGTTTTGAAGGCTCCACTTCTGATCGCTTAATTACGCCAGCACTGACACATACTGAGACTGAATCATGTGGAGCTTCAGCATTTGCGCGACCCATGTCATCACTGAATATATATATAGGTATTTCATTGCCTTTCAGAAAGTTATCATCCCAGCACCCCCGATCTTGTTGCAGCTATAAGATGCCAGGAAACATGATATCGGTAGTATTCAGTAGCACTGACCACCGCTGACGCCAGTGTCGTCAGTTGCTTCATGATTTCAACTTATTTGACAACGAGTCAATGCTTGTGCGGCACAGAATGTTCCCGGGAAACATGACACAAACTCTGAAAACCGGGGTGTTGGATGATTTGCAAATACTGCACAAACTACCTAAAGTCGCAAATACCACTGCTTTGGTTGCAAGCTCACCGGAGTAGCCCCCTTGAGCGCATGAAATGTAGTGTAGTACGTGCTCAAAGTTGTGACCATGATGAACGCGCTTCAAGGCGAACAGCTGCCTGCAAGCTGTGGTCCATTCTATGAGATTCTCGCATGTTTTTCCCGAGAGCGTTTGCGAAGGGTTATTCGTAAAAAGCATCTGTAGAACTACGTCTCATCTACATCTTCACCTTTTCACATCTGCACATCTACATGTTCACATCTTCACATCTGCACATCTACATGTTCACATCTTCACAGCTGCACATCTACATCTCTGCTCATCTTCACATCTGCACATCTACATCTCTGCTCATCTTCACATCTGCACATCTTCACATCTGTACATCTACATCTTCACATCTTCACATCTGCACATCTCACATCTGCGGATCCTCTCGCTCTTCTTTTCTTTCTCTCTTAGGGCGGCGGTGCCGCCGGAGCACCACGAAACGCAACCCTCTGCGGAGATCGCGCGCGTCGAGGGCGCGATATGCAGGTGAGATCGTGTTTTGGATTTGGCGCGCGCAACCCTCTGCGGAGATCGTGCGTGTCGAGGGCGCGAAATGCAGGTGAGATTGCGTTTTGGAGTTGGCACGCGCAACCCTCTGCGGAGATCGTGCGTGTCGAGGGTGCGTAACGCAGGTGAGATTGCTTTTTTTGTATGCCTGGAAGGTTATGCGCGCCAATGGCCTATATTCATAGTTTTTGTGGCACAGAGTGTGGGTACAGTTTTCCAGCTATTGAGAAATCTCGTGGAAAATGCTCGGCTGTGAAGGCTTCATTCTCACTTTTTGCGAATGTCTCGTGGAAAGCGCTCGTTCTCACTTTTCGCGAAAGTCTCGTGGAAAGCGCTCGTTTTAAAAAACTTCCTTTCTGCGCTTCCATGGTGTAAAGTTGCATGAGAACTTGCAATTGATGACAGTTCGTCGTATGTGAGAATTTTTATATCAAAGTAACGCAGTCTTTGCCTTTGACGACGCGTCGTTTTTCACTATTTTGTGGAAACTGTGTCATACAACACTGTGATCAAATACCTTCTTGACGGCGTGTCAGCTTGAGAGAATGTTGGATGTCATTTACAAACGCATTGCAGTACCGAGCTTTTGTATGAATATATATATATATATGGATATGTTCATATGACATGGTCTTAGTGTTTGCCTTTCCGGGCATTTTGGTACGGAGCTTCTTTTGCAAACTTAGATGGTAATTTTCGTATGAGAATGAGATCATACGCGTTGTTCACGGCATGTTGGTACCGAGCTTTTTTTCAAGCTCTGGCGACGATGTTCGGCTTGACAGAGTGTTAGATGTTATTTACGAAGACCTCCTGGCACCGTGCTTTTATATTATATATGTGGAGATTTTCACACACATAAAGAGCAGCATCTCTTCTGGAGACTTTCATGCAAATTTCGTTCAAGAATGAGATCATACGCGTTGTTCACGGCATGTTGGCGCCAAGCTTTTTTGGGGTGACCTTTACACAATTCGCTGCGCAAACATAGGATTGCTTGTATTGTTGACGACATGGTGCTGTCGAACTTTTGGAATCGCATATCCGGAGTCTTCGACGGTGATCTTGTCTTTCCCACTTGCGTCTACCTCTATCGTGGGATCGTTTGTCATCCTTGATGCGATGCATGGCGGAGACATTTGTAGCCTCTTTGCTCTTAAACGCCCTTGCTTGTCTTCTTCTCCAGGAACGTATTCAAAGCCATGGAGCAGGCATCTGAAGTCGGAACATTGCGACAGCCTTTGTTGGATCGTGTCAAAGAGCGGTACAATGAGATCTTCTTGGTGGGCCGGCGCTGGCACCTTGCGGAAGGCGCCTGCATTGCTTGCCGAGATCCACAACAGTTTTTTGAACCGAAGCCGGCAAGGCCGAATACAAGAAGACTGCAATATGTGAGAAGTGTTGGGATACCTTGACAGACAACGTGACTGATGACACCACTGCGCACGCGCAGTGCGATGCTCTGACTGCTGCTGGCATCCAGCTTGCGAAACAGTGGATTGAACTAGAGATGTGCAAAGATAGTCTCACGATGTCGAAGCACGGATGTGAGGCTGCTATTTTGCTTGCCTTGGGCACAGTGGAATTACCCAAAGTGTATGTTTCTTGAGCCGTCCCGTTGAGACGCATTATGACCGAGTCCGCGTCCTTCGCAGTGGGAACTGTCCGTGCGTGGGGTGTGGGGTCGTGCCAACTGCTCTTCGGAGAAAAGAAAAAACATTGCGGCCAGCCACTTTTTGTGCGCAGTGTGATGCTTTCTATGTTGAAGAAACTTCATGTTCTCATTGAAACAGGCGTTTCCTTTTTTGCAGTTCATTGCATGTACGTGGCGTTTGTCGAATGGCTCCGAAGATACGCTCAACCCGGGCGATCGCTTGGGATTCTGCTAACACCACCCTTGCACTGTACGTGAAGCAATCTATATATGTCCTTGTGAATAATTCTACACTCTTAACAGGGGCGTCCCGTCAGAATGGAGGGGGTGAAAGAGTCAAAGTACAAATTTCAGGGCCATAAATTTATATCGCTATACGCGTTCGAAAGGGCCCGCGTAAAAGCATGACTTCGAGAAGGATGGAAAACCTGCGACGACGCAGTTGGATAATGCTGCGCAACAGACGAATGAAAATTGCCACAGGATTGTTGCGTTGAAGTACAAAACGGATGTATGTGCTCTGAGAGACGCAGTTGCGTAGCTCCGAGCGTCTCACTTACCTCAGGAGCATCATGTTCTTGGCGCGTCCTGCACTGGCCGTGACCGACAATGACTGCAGTCACCATGTTTTTGGAATCCGCTGTCGCCAATGGAATTCGGCGGTGGTGCGCCTTGGATCGTACCCGAGCTGCGGCCTATTTGATTGGCGTCGGAAACCGTCTTCATTCTTTCTATGAAAAGGTTTGTTGCAGTGGGGGACGCTCTCTGATGTTACGGACTCACAAGAAATTTCGTGCGGGTGTTTTTCCAAACCCGACCATGAACCCTTTATGATGCGCAGGGGAAGCCAACAGCGGTGGATGGATGTGGTGAATGATGTGAAAAAGGGTACATGGCAGAAACTCTGCCAAAGCGGCGCGCGGCTCCTGGAAGACAGCGTGAAGAATGGTGGAGTGAAAGTGTCCTATACCGATCGATTTTCGACATGATGTCGACTTTCGATTGTCGTTTGTATGCAGCCACATCGACAGCATCTGCCTCACATTACAACACCGTGCATTTCAGGTTTGATTTGGAGTTGCATTCCGATCAGTCGGTGGGCTCTGGAGTAAGGGAGTCAAACATTCCGGTCAACACGCACACAGTGGCGACATATTGCGCCCGCCGCATTGGCCTCCGGCTGTCTGAGCCTTATGGCATCGAAGACCTTTGTTGTTCCTTTGTATGTTAAAGGGCGATGATACTTGATCATGTCCAGTTGAGTTTCTCCGAGTTGAGGAGCTACGTCTCGCTGCCGTTTCATCTGCGCGTCTACGTCCACACACCCTCACCTCTGTACATTTACATCTTCACACGCTCACATCCGCAGATCTACCTCTCTACCTCCACACACCCACGCATCTGCACATCTATATCACACCTGCGCATCCACACTGTCACTCCTTCACATCCGCCCTCTCTTTCTCTCTTTCTACATATCTTTTCTCTTAATATTTCCCCTTTCAAACAGTTTACTCTTAGGGGTTCTCAATTCTTTCTTAAGATGTGTCCGCCCTTTGTGTCACTGCTGGTGTCCGCCCTTTTCTGCTGGCATCTGCTGGCCATGCAGCATTTCTATTCATTTGTCTCCCAGGTCTGTCGCTGCTGGTGTCCGCCCTTTGCCATTGGCCATGTAGCATTTCTATTCATGTGTCTCCCAGGTCTGTCATTGCTGGTGTCCGCCCTTTTCTTTTGGCCATGTAGCATTTCTATTCATTTGTCTCCCAAGTCTGTCACTGCGGGCCAACCTACTAGTGATGGCCTCCACCCTAGTAGCAATGGCCTCCAACCTACTAGCGATGGCCTCCACCCTAGTAGCAATGGTCTCCAACCTACTAGTGATGGCAACCTAGTGTTATCCGAGTTCTCTCATACTCTTTTCGTTGGCAGGTGCTCTTGAGCATCGACTCACCAGGAGCCCGACGCCTCCGTGGCCGCGCTGCCTGGGGTGCCCTGTGTGGTGCTTGGGAGCGGTGTCCGGCCACCACAGCAAAAGCAGCCGGACATCGAGGACAGCTCGGTTGCAATGAAGATTTGACGTTTCCTCTGCCTCCATGTTGTTTACTTTAAGCAAAGCGTACCAAAGAGGTTTTTCCAACAAAGCTGCGTAGTCGGCTGAATAGATCGTGAAGCAGAAACTGATTCGTTGCAAGGTCTGGGAGATGAGGGAACTATGGAGTTGGCCAGCTTGTGCCCTGGCTGCCAGCAATCGCCGGCCAGGAAGTAAACTACAAGTAACAGAGCAGCGTTGTTAAGAGGAATCTGGGACGAGTTGCAACTGAAGACACATAAAATGTCTATCATCCTTTATCAATCCCAAAAACCGCTTTGCTAGTTTGTTTATCCCACCAGACCCATTGTTTGAGATCACTCTTCACCTCATATTTAAGTGGAAAACAGTACTGTACCTGAAAAAGGACCATAAGGATAGCAATGCTCAAATTTTGGAATGACACTAGCGTGTTATGCAATCATCATCGCGACTTCTTCCTGACTTCGGGCAGTGGCAGAGCGTCCCTTTCTTCACATCTCCAGGATGGAAAGGAAGAGTCGTTTGATGGCCAGTCCTCTCCAGTGGTCTTCTCTCGGACTGCAGCACAATGCAATCTGCTCCAGTGGTGCAGTGGCTTTCGCCGGCGCTTTGCCTCATTGCCCGCAACTGCGTGAGCTGCTGCTCTACAGCAACTGCATAGGCGGAGAAAGAATCAGAAAGACACATGTCTTTTGTTTTTGCAGAGAAATCTGTTCATACTATATAATATCCGTAGGACACTCTGACCAGTTAAAGATCAACCAAAAGGGAATTGCTGGAAAGCTTTTCTTTCCATCAGGATCGTTTTAGACCTAGTCATTAGTTGTTTTTTTTTTCCAGGTAATGTTTTGTAGCTTCCTTTCCTTGCTTGCTGTCATTGCCAGGCCCAGAAGGAGCTGCTGCTATTTGCCATGCTTTGCCAGATACTGGGCAATGTTCAAGACAGCCTCTGATACCCAGGGAAACTTCACCCATAAACTGCTGGAAGGGCTTCATGATTTTACATGGGGTAATGTGGCAGCTTTCAGTACCCAAGCCAAACACATTTCCTTGGTATCGTGCACAAAGCTGGTGGGATTGTAGACTTCTCGCCTACTACTTTCTTCAGTCTCGTTGGCTCGCCTCTCAGCTTGCCAGCAGATTCATACGTAGTCTAAGTCTAGCAAAGTTTCAAGAGAGGACGCAGAACACTTGGGAATTATGTTTTGACGGCAAACACCTGAGTTGGTAGAAGTTGTTCAGACATGTAGTACATAAGTTATTGTAAATTAAAGTAGGGCTGGGCTGGGGCCAGGGCTTAGTAAAGGTTCATCCCAAGGCCTCCTTGACTGCCCTTGACCTGGGCAGCAACCACCTGCAGAATGCAGGGGCCAAAGAGGCCGCCAGAGGCCTTGCGGGACACCCGCAGCTTCGCGAGCTGCACTTGGATCCTTGGAGCATTTTATGAAAATTTGTCTAATATTTATTAATCATTGTATATATATATATGTTTCTTTTATTGTTATTTTTATTTTTATTTGCCTTTATTTTAATAATATACAAAAAGCGTCTTGAATCCGCTTTGTTTTTTGGACTGGCTAGTGGGTGGCTGGCGCAAAATTGTTGCACAAGTCGCAAAGGAGTAATTGGCTCAGTCCGAAATGGCTCTCAGAAAAGATGGACAACTCGCGTTCTTCTTCCCACTATGCCACTGTGCCGTCCAAGATCGTAAATGTAGTGACAAAGGGAGTCCACACGTAGTATATCTCGTTCTTATGCGCAAAGTCGATTGTGGAAGCTTGTAGGTGTTGTAGCGTGCACGTTAACCAGATGGCAGCCCTGGTTGGCTATATCCGCCAAGAACAGAGCGTCTTGTGAATCGTTGACATTTTTGGAATCCGGGGCCAAGTCAAGTGGGATGATTGGTCTCAAGATGTCTCAAGATTCAACGCAATAGAGTTTCAATCTTCTGTTCTCTTGATTCCATTGAGGCCGTCGGAGCGGCGGTATTTGAAATTAGCCACTCCAGTCACTCCAAAATGGCTGGAGCGGCTGCTCCTCGCTGGGAGTGGCTGAAGTGGTTGAAATCAAAATGTTTGATTCCCTCAGTGTATCATTGATTGGCATTTGGGTCGCTCTAGCTTCCAAGAAACTCGTTCAAAGCTGGCCCGGAAGACTCATTAGATAGAAGGGATTGGTTTTGAGTGGCCAAACCAACGGCCAAGCTATGTATTTTCGATTAGACGTTGGCTTAGGCTTTCAAGAAGGAGACCACCCAAGAATGAAAGAAGTCTCGGTCTTCGGCCAAGGACTACAATGAACTTGACGATGATTGTGGTGACGCATTGATGTCCGCAGTGAAGGAGCGCTACAATGAACTCAATAGTTAAGTTTCCCTAAAAATCTAGGAACCAAATGAATAGTGCGAGCTATCCTGCGTCCATATGCAGGGGCATCCTGGCTACTATACTGGCTACCCCTTACTTAATCAAGGAGGCGCCTACTTAATTAAGTAGGGAGGAGGGGGAACGGGCTTAAAAAACTACAAAACATGTGTTAATTCTTCTCGGTCTTGACGTCACTAAATGGAACAAGAGTTCGATTGCTCCGATTCTGTTCAGTCTTTATCCTTAGGATTGTATAAATATGATTAAACATGTATATCATACGTGGCTCCAGATGGGAGGTTCTCTGGGCAGAAACGACACAAGCAAACGTCACACGAGTCAAAAACACGGAGCCTGCCTGTGTTTCTGATAAAGCGTGCATGTTTTGATGCATTGAACAAGGTGCTAAGAGAAACGGACATTTGTCGAACAAATCTGCGTGAAGAAGTCGAAGTTGAACACAGAAAATCAAGATTTGGGAAATGTTTCTTTTCATCTCCCCAGTCAGGGTGTGGTTACTTCAGCATGAATCACAACATTGTCATCATCGACATCACAACATTGTCATCGATATCACAACATTGTCATCGATGAGTCGTGTGATTAAAATGGGGTGGGGGGTGGGGATGGGTGGGGTGGGGCGAAGTGGATTTCACAACAGTGTCATCGATATCACAACATTGTCACGCGATGCGTTCAATCAAGCACTGTGGTTAAACTTGAGGCCGAGTGCAGCTGAAAACAAAAGCCGCTTGACTGATGTCGCGGCGTTTTGTGCTGGTAATGGGCTTTTGATGGCTTTTGTAGACATTTCAAAAATGATCAGACATGTGCAACAATCTTGAACCTAGACCCTGCCTGGGGAGATGAATACACACTCTTTAAGCATATCACACGCTGCTAGACATTTAGGAACACCTTTTTTCACAAAAAGGCTGGCTATCAGACATATTACTTTCTTTTCAAAGTCGTGCAAATGTACTGTGATTTGCAGTGTATATAAAGCAGTGTAAAGCACAACATCCATTTTAAACCAGCGCCAGCAGGGTATTTGATGGTGTTCTTCTACATGAAATGCAATACGCCCCCTTTTGCACCCTCATACGTTATAAGATGTTTACTGTATTTTGTTTTGGGCTGATGCCCGCAGAGACACTAGAAAACTGCGAGGGCTACAAACATGTACCAAGTCCGAAGTCAGCACAGATCAAGTTAAATCAACACTACCACGCTGCCTGAGCTTGGGAGGGGGTTTGAAGCACTGACAACGCAAATAATGCCACAGGAGATGCCGCGGCTGCGAAGCCTTTGGCTCCAAGGGAACCAGCTTTGCACTAAGAAGCTGCTCCAGGTCTTGGAGGAACGCCCACCCTTGGAAGCGGAGGACTGAGAAGTGTTTGAAGCCGTCATTACATTTGCTTGACACGCTGTAGGAAAAATAATCAAAGGGGATGGGGATGGACTCCGATAGCTTGATCACGCTAGCACACGCCAGATGCTGAAGCTCCTCGCTTGGAAGTGGTAGCGACATGAGAAGTCAATTTTGTTGGTTTTCGTGCTGTCAATTTTGCGTCTGAAACAAACCCATGAGTTTAATTTAACTCTAACATCCCGCACAAGCTTGGGACCCCCCCCTTGTGTACCGGCATGCTTCAGCGTAAGCTGGACATCTCAACTCTACTTCCCTGTACACGAAGGCTTGCCGACTGCCGTTCACTTCCGTAGTTCCTTGCTGCATACGGCATACTGCCATTCACTTCATTTCAGCAGGAAGAGCCGGAGGCTCAAACTCCAATCATCAACGCGCCCTTGCTGCCACTTGAGCTTTGTCGCAAATGCAGCATATACACTGAGACGCCAGGGTCACAACATTTTAACAAATATCAATATAGTCCCGGGCCAAACTTCCCCAGTCAGCCCTAGCCCTAGTCAAAGTCGCCCCAATTGGAGATCATGCTGATTATTAAAGTCATTCTCCATCAAAGAACTTTGAGACTGGTAAATATTTAGTAAATGCTCTCCATCTGACTGAGTCGCTCACTCACCTTTAAATCTACAACAGAACCTGGAGAGAATTCTGTGGACATTGAGAGGTCGTGAGTAGATTGAGCAGAATGTGAATCATTTGCAGTGGGCACTGCACAAACTCACTTTCTTTTTATGTTTTTGTGTTTTTTGTTTAATGGATGTAACAAGCCACTTGATTCACTTCCAAAGGCTCGCATGGCTTCTTACACGTTTGACCCAAAATGACCGTGGAATCCCCAGAGGGTTCCATTCTCTCTCATGCATATGAGTTTTGAAAAAAAAGCACTCGTATATAAAAACAAATGCAAGCATGTTCTCTTTTCACCAAGTGAAGTATCCCTTCTCGCTGTCAGTCAAGAGAAAGACCAAACTGCACACGGACTTTCCAACGAGACACCAATGATGATGTTCATCGCAAGCCCAGGAAAGTTTGAAGAGTGAGAACTTCGCCGAGCGCTGTGCACACTTGGCCTTTGAGCGCTACTTTGCTTCATGCGGAGCACACGCCTTGAGCGCACGTGGCCAGGCAAGACCGGTAAAGATGGGGGAGTACAAATCTTGAGAGTTTTGAGGCGATCAGTGGGTTCACAATTTCAATCTATATCTGTTGTCTTGGCTGCTTAGCTTAACACATGTTTCAGACAAGAGGCACGTATATTAAGGACCTACGAACCCAAAAGCATTCTGTCGTGTGCTTATTGCTTGCGTGTCCAACACGAAAGTGCATTCTGTCCTGTCCACCTATTGAAAAACACTGGGCCCCCCCCCTCCCCCTATTAAGAGAAACTCGGTCGCATTTTTTTAAATAGGGGGTCCCTGAAATCGGGCGGGTCTAAAATAGGGTCACCTGGGAAGAGCTTCAAAACCAAAAAGTCCTCCAGGAAAATTTTATATACAATCCTTTTTAAACTCGTATCAAAAATTCAAAAAACCTCCAGATCGAAGGGTCTTCCTTTTCCCCTACAAAAACCTTTATTAGAATACTGATTCTTCATTAGACTAACAACCAAAGCTTTCGAAAGGTGATGTCGCTGTGCCATGCGGTTTTGCACGACCTCGGTGGCAAGTGCGTTTGCATGAGTCCGTGCCATTGGAGGATGGAAAACCTGCCGATGTAAACGCGGTGTGTCATGGTGGATACACAGGGCGGACAGATGTGGGCAGTTACGGTTGTTTTTGGAACCCAAGAAAAGAAACTACCCCCAAAGTCGACCATGTTGGTAGTCTAGTAGCGGCTTGAAAGGGCGATATTTTTAATATAAGCTGAATTTAGGGCTTCGGACGCGGTGTTTTTTTTAGTTGGGGAAGCTTTTTTAATAGGCACTCGGGATTATCAACCAGCTGCACTTTTAAGCTCGCCCACATGAAAGGTAGCGTTCAATTGTTGAAGTTGGGAAGGAGTGGCAAACCCGCCACTTGGTGCTGTACTGAATACTGGTGGCAGACATTCAGCAACCTTCCAGGCATCTGGTATTTTGCTACTTCATGTGTAAATTGGCCAATAGTATTCTGCACATGTCCGAAGGTGCTAAAACGGCTAAAGCATTTTAAACTGTTCGACTCTCAAGCCGGTCCATTTTCATCGTGAAAAGTGGACGCAAGCTTGCCGAGCGCACTCAGTACGTCAGGATTGTCACCTGTCAACGTCCTTTTGTATCGGTACCCTCTTAGCTTCAAACGTGGGTTCACATCGGAGTCACACTAGTAACAAGAAGCTACTAGGGGCTCCTGGCATCGCTACTAGGAGCATTCTCACTACTAGTAACAAGAAGAGACACAAACAGGTGAGAATCTCCGGAACACCCCTTTCTTGGACTTCCGATGAAGATTGGTGTAGTTGCGAAGCGTAGAGCGCTAGAAGGACACCCTTGATTGTACCCTCGGTGGCAGCCGGGACAGCACTGTTGTTCCTATCTCTTAAAGAAGCATTAAAACAAGTAAGACAGTTGCCCTTGATATATATATATAATATTTTTCGTGTGTTTTTGTGTTTCTTTTCTATACTAACACATATATATATAATTAACAACATCGATATATATATATATACATATATATATGCCAAAGAACATGAAACAATGAAAGTGCTCTTCAAGTACTGTAAAATCATGTAAATTATTGCTAGCACCATTTGTTTTCCTCGTTCACTGTATCCCAGCAAACCCTGACCACCGAGTCACTGCAAGAAGCCCGAGAACCCGAGAAAACACTTCAGCCAGAGAGAATCCACGTATAACACGTCCGCCAAAAGCCAATTTCTCAAATTGGAGGGAAGATCGTCCACCTGACGAAATCGACAGAGACGAAGACACGGGATGTAGACCAACGACAACGCAAGCCAAAAACGAAAAGGACACATCGTCCTTGAATTGACAAAACATCTGCAGATCAACCGAGTGGGAACTATTCAATTCGAAACAAACGTCATTGCCTGCACCCCATCTTCAAAAATGCCAGAAACCATTCTTCAAAACCACCACTGACCACCAGGCGACTAAACATACCGCCAGTGACTATGTGGTACTGTGATCCTCAACTCGAAAGGGGCTTTGACATGATTCCTGGCTTGGCTGAAGGAATTGATATCCGTCCTTGACTAGGATTGAATTGGCAATATGCTTACCACTCTATCAAGTCAAATTGGCACAGCCAGCCACTAGGTTTGGTATGCCTACCCACCCGGACTCAAGGGCAGCGAAACCATGCCTCTGCCTGTGGCCTTCTGATGAGAACATGAATCAATGTGTTCCAATTTCTGTTGCTTTGGTGCAAAACTGTCTAAAAGGGTCAGCCGGGCCAGATCTTGGACGGATGATGATTTTGTCAAGGAAAGCTACAACAAGCGTTGAAGATGTGTGAGCTTTTTGAAACTTCTGTCCTGGCGCGATTTTTTGCACGCTTTCCAGGTGGTTTTGGCCGCTATCCTCGCTTATGATCTGACAAACGATGCAAACCTTTGGATCGTATCATTGGGTGCCAATCTCAGTTTGCTCGCTGAAGATGTTGGTCACGGCGCGTTAGAGGCCAGCTGACAAACCTTTATTTTTATTTAGGACAGATATCATGCTTGAAACCTTGCTTCAATTTCAACCAGCCTGCGAAGCTGTCATGTCATGTGCCTTAGAAGAACCTCACATGTTTCTCAACAGCAGTAGAGCTAAACAGTTCATCCAGTTCGCTCTACTTGCAACATTTCCAACACCGGGTTTTTCAGTGAAGAGTGAAGACGATCTATCAAGATTTGGCAGCTTGGGATTTCCATTTGGCGGTTTGTCATTGATGATCTGTTGCTTGGCTCGACCGCTCAACTGCCAGAGTCCTAGTTCGTGGCGAATGTCCAGCCCCAGATGACTAGTCGTGTTTGTCCTCATGAAAATCACAGCAAATGGAAGCAAGATGCAGCAGAAGAATCTAACAGCAGAATGCGGCAGCAGGCTAGAATGAACTTTACCTTGCTGCTGCTTTGTCTTCTGATATCAGTGCATCGCAGGTGTTTCAGTCCCAGGTCCCAGTCGCCAGATTCATGTTCAAGCCCCGCCAAAGCTGAGCAATGGCTCCCAAACCAAAGAAATCTCCTTCAAGGAGTGCCATTTCGTGTGGCCATTCTCCCTTCCGATTGGCCTCTTTCCTATCCAACTTCCCTTCCCTCTCCCCGTCCCTCCGAGCTGACATACGACCAGGATCCAAACCTCAGCATGGAAGCCATTTTAGCGTCAATGATATGCCACTTTTGCTCTGCAATCATTGGGATATTGATCGTATCCTGGATCCTTATCATGAGTCGCTCGGTATCTAGGCTACGCTCGATCGACAGCAGTGACATGAGCATCACGGTGCCAGGAGTGAGAAAGACAAGGATAAGGATAAGGACAAGGACAAAGAAGCGGAGAATTCTGTAGCGGATGGCACATCCTCACTAAGCCTTAGCAATGCCAGCAGTCCTGGCAGCAATACTGCAAGCACCGCTGGTGACGGCGAAGGAAAGAAGCGTCTTGGAGGTAAAGATCCAAGCACCTTATTTTTGGGATTTGCCTCGGATACCTCTCGTACTTGAAAAGACACAAAGGTGGTTCAAGGGTTGTTTCATGAGGAGGTGTTTGAACACGTTGCCCCCCCCATGCACAACATAAATACTAAACAATACTAATGACATTATATAGTATATATATATCTGTTTTATTCTTGCAAAGGAGGCAGTTGCAATTTGAAAAACAACAATTTTTGGTCACTTCGATCAGAGTGACTGCCTTGACTAAGGAAGAAGGTTCCGAACTCAGCATGCTGTTTGGAAGAGCTCAAGCCTGAAAAGAACGACCGAAGACAACTTTATAATGGAACTTGAGTGAACTGATTGACATTGAACAGTTTCCTCGATGCATCAGTTAAACTGGTGTGTTTGGCAGCAGTGCATGTTGATTCGAGCTCGACTTAGATTTCTTTGATACAGGCCAAAAAGAATACTGCAAATTCAATGCAGAAGATGGCAACCACCACCGATTTGTTTCAGGACAGATTAATGAGAGATCAGGACAAGAGAGCTGCTGTTTTTGTGTTTCAGGGGCTTAGCTCCTGTGGGAGATGGAACATCTGATTCAATTCATCTAGATAGTCCCCGTCAAAGGTGAATCATCCAATAATTGCACCACAAGTTTATATTTACGAGAAGTCAAGCACCTGCTTGAAGATCTTGGAGAGAACCCGCTAATGCAGCTCATTCAGGATAGTGGCTTCAAGGGCAAACCCATCGCTATGACTGGGAGGCCCACGGAGTACTGTGGTTGGTCCGTCCGATCTTCGCTCGAAGATCATAGAGGCGTGCCAAGTTGCAGGAGCCCCTAGTAGCTTCTTGTTCCTAGTAGTAAGGCCAGGAGCCCCTAGTAGCGTCCTTGCTCCTAGTAGCGATGCCAGGAGCCCCTAGTAGCGTCCTTGCTCCTAGTATGAGTCAAGGAGCTGAGAGTATTCAGCAACGTCCTTGTCGATGTCGATCCCCACAACCTTCGAGTCTATGACTGGGAAGGTAAATTCACGGTGAGTCGTGCTTGTCAGCCAATCAGCATGACATGGCATGAGCAATCCATGGCAAGCCTGCAAAATCTGTAACCCCGCAGCTCGACCAAATTTGGCAATGCAGATAAGTGAGTATCAGCAGATTAACTTTCAGTTCGTAGAATGAGAAGCTCCAGTTCGGTTCATGAAAAGCTTGTTTGCTAGACTTCCTGTACTTTGCCGATGCGCAGATAAATTTGTACAAGTCTTTGCTTTGGGTTGCAGGCGCTATGGAGTTGCCATTACCTGGGATCCTGTGGATTATGCAAAGCCGGTGGATCTGGATTTGCAAGCAATCATTGTAGACAAGCGAGGCTACATTGAAGCTTGTCGAGAATCCATCAAAACTGTTGGAGCAGTTTGAGCATGTTTGAGCTAACCTATATGTATTATATGAACAATGTTGATGGACATCTACCCTACTGCTTGACTACCTGCGAAATCTTGAGTCCCCATCCGCCTGAAAGATCATTGAAGAGTGGTTGATGTTTCAGAGGTTACAGGAAAGTGCGCTTTGTGTATGTACAACAAGGCATATCAAGGCGTGATGTCACTCTCTGGGAGAAGTGGAGCTAAGGTTGATGCCGTCTACTACAACAACTTAGTGGCCTTGAATGGAGCAGTTTCACATTCTGGTGATGAAGTCACTGGTCAAGCCAGCACCAGTCTCAGGAGGAAGCTGAGAAGACCAAGCTTGGTCTTAGCAGAACAGCTTGCAAATTTTGAAGAACGTTGATGACACTCTTGGATTTGCAGATGCTTCAGTGCATCCCAAGTTGGCTCCAGTTGAAAGAAATCAATCTTGTGTCAAGCCCGAGGTGACTTTGATGAGATGGTTTGGGCCGTCTTTGCCAAACTTCCCCCGCAGGCCTGGAGCGTATCCAAATGGTAGAATCGACATACATAACAATCAGGTTTATAAACCGAGCTTTCGAAGTACAGACATGTGCTGTTGATCAGCAGGTAGACAGCTGAGTTCCAACTTTTTTTGTCGTCAATCTTTCGTAGTCTACGTTTGGACATAACATTTTTTCTGGGATTCTGGGCACCCCTTTGCAGTTGCGGAAGCTGCCGAAGCTGTGTGGAAGACTCTTTTTTGCGCACAAGGGCATAATATGGTTAGCGACTAAAGCTTGAAAAAGCACCTGCTGCCGATTTTCGCTTCGTAAGGCTCGCGGGAGCTCCCAATTCCCAAGTTGTAAGGTCCTCCATTCTTAGCCAGATATAGCCACCAGGAGAACTTGGAGGTGACAAATGCAAGAAATCTTGGTGTCCTACTAATTTATGTTGTTGTCACCATTGCACGACGACCCTGCGCGCGGAAGCAAAACTGAAATAAACACTCGGTAACTAATGTGGCGTATGCTCAGCGAAAGTCCCCACCCAACAAATAGCGTGTGGAAGCTACCTTTCACATGGCGGAAGGTTGGCGCAAGCAGTTGCGGATGCTTTGTGTTACGTGCATCACCAACAAAAAGGAACAACAAGAGGATTCAGCTGTATTTTTTCTCCAAAAGGATGTTAGCATGAATCAACGCACGGAGAGCCAATAATGGGCTTTGTGCTTGAGCAGCCTCTGAGGTGAAGATGCTGCTTTTTGTGGCTTTGCACTCGGCATCATGAGCGCGTCGTTATGAAAGCAGAGAGACTACACACGCAGTGTGACATGCGAGCATCATGAAGAACATCGGCATTTGAGCTCAGGTAGCAGCGTGTGGGGACAGCGCGCTGCGAGATGCAGCCAATGCAACAGTGCACGTGGTTCAGGCAGGAACCTTGGCAGTTTCGGCATTCCATGTATGCCTCCTTTAACTTTCATCATTTATATAACCAGAATCTCATTCCTCTCAGGATCTTTTCTGTTTGATTGAGGCCATTGCTTGCTACAGTGTTGTTTCTCCTGCCATAGTGACAACACCACAGACCTGTCAAAGGCTTGTCAAGTGGTAGTGGTCAAACAATACCAAACCTTTGACAAGCGAGTCTGTAGAGCCATACAGGCCCTACAGGCTGTAAACTGCCTGCATCTGAAGCAGCATTCTCACACGGGCGGCTTTTTTGTTCCTGGGCTGGATCGTGCCAGGAATTCCATGGGCACACAGTGTTGCGTTTCCCATGCGAAAAGAGCAGGGCGGATGTGGATGTGATCATCTTGATGGAGCTCCTGGTTGGCAGAAATAGTCGGGACAGGGACTGCTTGATGCACTTTATCATAGGCTAGCAGCGGTGGTTTTCTCTCTTGGCGAAGCATGACTTCTGCACACCAGAGTGTTGTCGAGCGCTCTGCTTAATTCATGGACACCAAGTTGTGCTCTTTGAGGAAAGATAACCAGGGAAAGTGGTGGCTCTATCAGGCTGGGCAAGCGTGAGCTGCAGGGAAGCGCAGGTGGAGGTGCTGAGAGCCGAAGAACTACTGAGATGCCCATAATTAGTTCAAGAAGTTGCCTATCTGTGAGCACATGGAAATATGGAAAGATGTTCTGAGCTAGTTAGCTAGGACGCTATTAGTAGCTCCTGGCCTTACTACCAGGAGCAAGAGGCTACTAGGGGCTCCTGGCATCGCTACTAGGAGCAAGAACGCTATTAGTAGCTCCTAAAATTCAGACGGTCTTAATGGTTTGCTAGGCGGCTTGGCCGTTGAAACTTCGTCGAACTTCGGCATCGCGCTTGTGCTTTTCAGGTCGATGAGCCCGCAGAGCACGGGGAGCACTTCCTGGATATCCTTGAGCCAACTATTGGTGTGGCATGGCCAAAAGTGGCATTTGTGTGCCGGGACGAGTGACGAGGGCACAGTTCGGTGTGACCAAGTGATAATCACTTGCTTCCTTTGGATTCTGACATGTTCGAGTCAGGTTCTTCAAGTCTTCAACATCTTCTAGTGACTCATCATGTTCGGTTAACTTGCCTGCTGAACCGAACTGTCCCAT